CGTAAAATACGGTGCTGGCACTGATGGCCTATAGTGACCTTTAGTTGATTTGGGGCGGTCAATTTCACTGTACTGTACTACAGTGTGAGGCTGCTGGGGATTTCGTAGACTCCTGATAAAAAAGAAAAGAAGAAAAAAATTGTTAGATATGCAGAACTTATATTATATTTATATTTAGTAATCCAACATGGTTTGAAATGGTAAAGAAATTTTTGATTTAAATTTATAGAGGTAATGTTAATGTAAATCACTGTTTTTAACTTTATTAAGCCAACAGGGTCTGGGCCAATAAAGTAAACCGATCAGTGTGAATGATAAAACCGATGAGGTGTGAAATTTAGTGGTAATATAACACAGGTTCGTTAGTATTCTCGACACTTACTTCACCATAAGCGGTGCCATAATAGAACGATTTCGTGTTCCCATGGGAACTCGTCGCTGTGGAAGTAAGCTTCGCAGCATAGCTGTATTACCCTATGTAAAAAAAAAAAAATCATCCAAATCTTGACACAATATAGTTTCATGCTGATTAATCTGGTGATGATTAATATTATTAAAATTTACAAACTTAACCTTCTAAAGAGTAGTAAATTTCTCAACATAAAAAAAAAGAAAGAAAAGAAAATGTGCATTCTAGTCCCAAGAGAGTAACCTCCTTGTCGGCATACAAGACCTTCGAGCCATTGCAAAGCAGATTGGCAGGGGGTTATTGCAGATACGTTAAGAATTTAGTATTTAATGTGCATCTAAAGTACCCTAGCTAGCTACCCAAAGGGCTAGCCACAAATGTTTTTTTTTTTTTTTGTGGGAGAGCAAGGTAATTTGAAGATGGTTTTATTAATTCTCGAAGATTTAAAGCAGACTCCATGGCATATTATTCTGTTGATGGTTATTGATGAGAAACACTCACTGCAATGTGAACATATGATAATTCAGTATAGGTACATTAATGGTCAGAAAAGCAGAATTGATAATGAGCTAGAACCTCAATTAACCTGATGAAAGAAAAAAAAAAATACAAACATCCAGTTCCCCATCAAATTAATCCAACCTACTCAAGTGAATTGAATGAACCAAATCTTTTTTATTTATAGAGGTCAAAGTGGGGGAGGGGGAAAAGGTCGCAGTGTTCGTTATTGCGAGGAAAATACCGAGCGTTAGCAGGCATAAGCGAGTCTCTACGGAAGGTAGCTGAGAAACGTGATTCTACATTTTTTGAAGACAATATTACTGATGATCTTTATCTGAAAGAGGGGTTGGAAGCAGCATTGGTGCATACTAATATTTAAAGAAAATATGTGCATTTTTACATATTTCATGATTTTTATGAAGTGTGTGATGGGGGGGATAGGAAAACCAAAGCTTACGTGTGGGTATAGTTGACTGTCATCATCAGAGCACCTGTGCTCAGCCCTGCTGTATTTAGATGTCTGAATTTAAAAAAATATATAACAGAATGATATATTTGCAAAGAAAATAGAACCTTTCTGTGGTTCAGTGGGACACAAAGCGATTGTAGAAATGTAGTAGTGCTTACAACAACTTTTGGATAATCCTGAATGTAAATGTAGATGTTTTTTTTTGTAATTTTTTTTGTGATTTTTGCTAAGTGGAGAGAATGAATTAATGTTAGTAAATTTGAAGGTACAATGTAAATTGATACCTTGCTGACGTTACTCAACGTGTGTTGTTATGTAGTCAGTCTGCTAATTGTTTGTGTCAGGCCCAAAATGTGGGTACATGTGAAATATTGAAGTAAGTTAACAGCCAGAAATAAACTGTAAAGAAAACTGTAATGTAAACCGATAATACAAATACAGTAAGCTTTTCAAGAATTTGTAATGGTAGCATCATTAATGCGAATTAGTAGTTACATATTTTGTATTTGTGAATAAGCATTTTATTTGTTGTTTTTAAAAATTTTTTTTAAAAAAAGTTTAGTTTGCATTGTGATGACAGCTGATGTGGGAGAATTAAATTTACGCATTAACGCACGCCTCGGGAAGTGGACTTATTCGATAGCAGTAAACTGGTGATGTGGAGGGGGAGGAGGGTCACAATATCTAATCAATGCCGTGCAATGAACATCTGGTAGTCAGGCCATAGGAAAAATGATTTTTTTTCAAGCATTCTTTACCTTACAGACATTATTATAGACCACGTCTAACCCGATACAGTTATGAGAATTCGATGCAACTCGCTGGATCTCCTCGATGACATGTTCATGATCTTGAATGCCATTCTGGAAACCGTTCTCAGACTTGCTGCTTTTTACTCGCTCCTTTTCAGTCAGGTACTCCACGTGACTTATACCGTTGTTTCGTACCACAGTGAAAGTACGGGAATTTTTCCTGCAAGCAGTAAATAAGAAGAGTTAATACTGATACCAGTAGATAATTGCACAAAACATGAAAAAAACAGGCATACCAAAGTTTTCCCGTCAAAGAAGAGGAGCACATTTTTACATATATTAATTTCTTTGTTATTAAAAAAAACTATTCAAGTTTTATTTTGTGATCAGTGACAAGTCAACCTTGGCACCCCAAAAAGTTAATAATGGTCAGCAATGGTACCATTTAGTTGCTGGTGAACGTAAATAAAGAAGCAAAATGTACTAACTTTGTCAACTGCCTGTAGTTGGGAGATATAGTATTCCTAGGACTCATAGGGTCTGGTTCTTCCCTCCCTTTTGCCGTCTTCGGTTTAGAACGCTAAAAAAAAATATTTAAACAGTAGTAAATATAATTTTACAGGTGATATACATATAGTTCACAGAGGAGAAGAATCGCTGGTGATGTAGTAATACGATTAACCTTTTCTCCGGTCTCTTTTCATTACAAAGTAGTCCTGTTTATAGTCTGCACTTTCCTTCAAAATATTGGGACAAAAATAGCCAAATTGTTTGAGTAAAAACTGAAAATTGACTCAAATTTTGTCTGCTCCAAAATTAAGGTTCAGTTCCAGAAATATTGAAGAATATAAAGAAAAAATGCAGAAATTTGGGTAAGTAAGTCAGGTGGTGAAAAGGTTACAGAAATAATTTGCATGACTGCCCTCTATAGTTCATATCTGCATATACAGTCTCTCGGCACTTGGATGTACTTGTATGAGGGTGCACTGTCATTAACAGCAATAAAGGAAATTCTTCTTTGAAAATGTGTATGAATATAAAGTATTAGACATTATCCTGATATATTTTTTACAAATTAATAATTAGCGTGACAATTAAAATGTGGATTTATTCCAAGTTTAAGGTAAAAAATTGAATTCAACAATGCATTCATCGAAAAATGAAATAAATTTTTGGAAATAGAATTAGGCCACCAGCGAAATATCACATATATATATAAAACTTGCAGCTGCAAATTTGAAAAAAAATGGTGACATTTATTGAATAATTATTAATCATGACTAGCATTCCATGAAATTCTATGCAGTCAGTTTAGGTAAAGGCCGAAAAAAATTAGAAAATTAAACTGCATGTAAATAGCATATAAATATATTTCTGCTTTATAGCAGTTTTATTTTTTATTTTATAACATGTGCACTTCATCGAAATAAATTGGGTATAATGTTTAAATTCACGACAAAAAGAACGGAACAACAAAGTAAAAAGCGTTTACAAAATTCAATTCACAAAAATAGCCATGCTCAATATGTTTTGCCCATTATTTCTAGTTTAAAAAAAAAAAAAAAAATTCATGCAAAGCCATTGATTGATTAAGCCACCAAAGATTGTGCAGAAATGTATTCATGCAGCTATGAATAAATTACAGAAATCAACTGTGGGAAATACATTACAGAATCATAGAACGACAACAATATGTGTTTAGCTTATAAAAAAGTCATTTATTGATAATGGTGTGGCCGCCATCAATCAATTCATTGTTCATCGTATATTGAATTTTGTTTCTTTCAAATCCTAGTTTTACAAAACCACATTTTGAAATGAGAAATTACTAAGTGACAAAAACATTGTAAAGCAACATTCTTGTTTGTTTTTTTGGTTTTCCAATATGGTGCATGCATATTACTTCTATGCACGACACTTTGAGCACCATAACGTTTCCTGCCAAATTTTTGATGCTACATTTTGTTTATTTTAAAGTATTTTTCTATAATTTTTTTGAACATTTTGAACAGAATGGGCATACCCGGTATTTTTTATGAACTACATGTCTGGATCAAAATAAAAAAAAAAAAATATTACATTTTATTTCGCTAAAAAACGGCTATACATAAATTACCCGATATATCATACAGTACAGAATTGTCTGCCTAATTTTCCAAGGAGAAGCCAGAGTCAAAATTAATTAATGGTTATTAATTTAAGAATTGTTTTCAGCGGTCTGACATTAATAGAATAGAGCAGTCTAAACTGCAATAAGGAGGGTGACCTTTATATGGGGTCACTAATTTGATGTAGTGGGGTCAAAGGTCAATATGGATTGTTATGGATTGCACGCGTGGAAATCGGGTCCCAAGCGACGATAACACACGCTAAAAATGCAAAGGCTCATGGGTAGACGCTTGTTTGTAAATAATGACACGCTATGGCCATCTGACGCATGCTCAAGTGACGACTCCCTCGCTTTAATAATCATCAAACGTCAATTTAAATAGCATTAAAAGGATTTTTACATAAATTTTCAATTTAGCATGAATGCAAGTCTAAGAAACACTGTAATCTAGTACTGTGGCCTGACATTCAATACAAGTAGATACCTAGTATTATATTTTAGCACTGCTTTCCCTGCTCTGTTGTTGTCCAATTTTCAAAAGCAGGAAAACATGCAAAGTCACTGATGTTTTGAAAAAAAAATGCTGTTCTATTCTATTCCAGGCAAAAATTATTCTATGACAACCACATGTGTGTATTTACTCTGCGCAACTCACACAATGGGAAGTCTGTTTCAAACTCAGCGGTGTCCCTCAATTCACAAATCACATTCTGTCAAACACAGTTGCAGAGACACGGACTATGACATCATCCGCTAATGGCATCATATAGTTTATACATACAACTGAGTTTTCAACTAGATATCAACAGCGACAGGCAATTAATTAATTAAATTTAATTTAATCAAATGTCAACTGAATGTCAACTATCAAAGAAAAGAGGCAAACAAAAAAATACATAAAATTGTGAGCTATGATTCATGCTTATGACATCTTTAGAGAAGACAAAACGATTTCTGGCAATGTGCTCAGAGGTGACAGGGTCAAGTGCAGATATAAATTAAAAAGAACATTCTCTATGACTACGACTATTACCAGATGACTGGGATCAAAGACCAAAATATACTCTGAAATTGAGAGCAAAGTTTGGTCCAAACAAAATATTATTTATTTGGATAAGTTTAAGATATTGCCAGGACATTTATGGAATCAACAAAATTCCAATGTTACGTAAACTTTTACTTTTCACCAAAAGAACAGAGAATGTCTTCTCAGTTGAATGCTAGTTGTATATCAATACTTGAGTGTAATTTGATTACAACAGGGTTGGGTAATATACTACTATTTTGTTGACAGTTCAAATAATGGCATTTCATTTGCCAAACATGGAAAAATAGCCATGTGTTTATAAAACAGAGCATGGGGAGAACACCAGAAACATTGCTTGAAATGAAATGATTGTTATAAATAATAAAAAAATAATAAAATAAAAAACAGGAAAGATGGACCTTTTTCCCAAATCAACAATATTTTCGTTGGAATTTTTTTTTATCTCAGTTCTTACACTAGAATGAAGAAAAAACATCAGATACACAATTCTTACAATTTCAGTTAATTTTCAGTCTGAATTTAGCACCATATAGAAAGCATGCAGTCAATTTGGTTGGCAGCAGAAATGAGTTTCATCATGAACTTTAAACTTTTTGTAAACGATCAATATGATCAATACGTCATTTTTTTCAGAAAACAGTTAGGTAACCATGGCAGCAAATTGCACTTTCAATGACCCTTTCCTTGTCACATTTTCCGATATTAAAATATTATCCGTAATAAATGTTGGAACAGATCTGCTATGATACTGCTTTTAATATTGATGTCTTTTGATCAAAGATCTAAAATTACGCATCTATATCAAAGATGGCCAAGATTTGGTAGTTATTAATAATATCTTCCATTGATGAAGATCAGATAAAAAATTGTTTTTGATCTTAATTAAAAGTTAATATAACCAAAATTGTTGTCAGCGCCAACAGCACAGACAGATGTATTGTTCATTTCAAGAGAACCAACATCCTGCAGGAGTGAACCAAAGTGATAAGCACAGGAGGCCCCATGGTGATTCAAGCAAGTAGCAATTTGGATTAACTGCCAGTCTGAGAAATAATCCTTGAGCCATACAGGTCAAGTAACATCCTGTCTTTGTGCCAAGTTACATATCAATTGTTTTATACATGTATACATAATCCACAAGAAGTCAGACTAGGGAAGTCAGATGGGGACATGAGATAAACACAAATGGTCTGCATTCCACTAACATTACTATCTACATGTAATCCAAGCAGTCTCCATCACTTGTTACCATTGACAACAATACGACTAAGAGCTGCACTTACCTTCATTGGCAAAGGGTTGAATCCTCTGGGCTCTTCCCGCGACTTCAGCAGATCTGCTTTCTGTTTTCCCCATTATTGGTTTTAAGGGCAAACGTGGCAAGAGCAGCGGTAACGGCAGATTCAATGATGGCGATGGTTGACGTCGGTGGAGAGCACAAATAAAAGCAGACGACTTGTGAGTTGAGGCAAAATTATACTAGAAATTCACACACAAAAAATACATGCACATTCATTCATTCATTCATTCATTCACTCACTCACTCACTCAGTCTTGCTGCCAAGCGTATACATGTTCATCATATCAACATGACACACAATCAAGGCAAACAAATAAATATCCCAGATTACATGTATGTTACACTGGAAGCACCTAAAATTACCTAAAACCAAAACTCCAATTTAAATAATGCCGACAGTTTAAGTGACAATGATAACATAGCAATCAGAAGGAACAAAACAAGAGCTCCCAGTAGATGTGTGATTCAAATAGAGGGAATACAGCATTAAGTGATAGCTAATAGCTAATAGCCATAACAACTGGAGACTTTTATTACTTCCATACAAATCCCTAAATGATAAATATTTTTTTCTAGACATCTATCACGCTTAAACCCTCAATATTTGTTGAAGGCAGTCGTGGTGGTTGTTGTTGCACATTAAAAAACAAACAGACTCGAGAAAGGTAAACAGCTAGTTCTCAGACAAATTGGAACTTTCTACTACTTGATGTCTTTAACAGACGTAAGACAGATTGTATGCACAGCCTAACAATTTCAAAGTGGGCGCTACCCAATCTACATAGATAACAAACAGAAAAGACATTGATGGATCATCTGTTGCCATGACAACACATATTGAAAGCTAACTCTATGGATGAGTTCAGATTTCGTCAACGATATTGGCGCACAGTCTCATTTGGAACTTGAGGAATTGCTGACAATCACAAAAAAAATATTTCATGAAATTCACCTCGTGTCTTAAGGACCTGCGTCATAGTGGACATTGCTAAAACAAAAATGTTGCCATTTTAACAACTCGCGTAATTTGCAAAACATTGTCTCACGAAATGAGTAGTGTAGTGTTGTTAAAAGCAGAGTAGAGGTGACAGGTCATTTTGTCTTTGTTCACAATAATTTTATTCGGGGTGATGCATACATACATTGTAGATGGATTTACTCTGTACAACTGTCCAGTCGCAGGAAAGAATATTTGCGTTCAAAATTCATTGTTTCCTACAATTTCAATAATTTGTATGGTTCGCATTTGATGATCAAAAAGTTGTTGATGCTGTGAGGAAAACATCTTTCCCCCCCCCCCAAAAAACACAAAAAACCTTACAAATACAAAGCAAGGAAATTTAGTGACAAAGAAATAGAATTTGCGTGGGCGAGATTGCATACAGGCAATGAAATTGAAAACCATTAATAAAACATAAAACTGTTACCTAGGTAACACAAAATAGAGTTCTGAACCGCATAGATTGCTAATAAAACTCTTTGGCAAACCAGGTCAACCACCTTTTCAATAGGTCACTGAAACAAATTCTTGTGGAAACACTAGCTGTACTTACTAACATGTTCTTTTGAGTAGTCTGCACTATTAGTTGGAAAAAAAAAAAAAAAAAAATACTCCAACCCTAAGTGTGCGTCATTCACACCATCTTGATTAGATCAATAACATTCTGATGTACCTACCAACACTGGATTTGATTTTTTTTTTTGTTAACCCTTTAAATTGCCAAAGTCTACTGCACCTTTCACAAAATAAAACCTAAATTTTTTTTCAGATTTTTTAAAAAATCCATCAAGAGCTGTACCCAATTGGAAATTATCTCCATTTGGTTCAAAATTAACAAAAGAATTACATGCCAAATGTTTAATAATAAAGGTTTGGTTGATCCCGTCACGACCATGGCCAATGTTTTCATTGCCAAGTTCCGAAGGAGTGCCAAAGTCTCTGTAGACTACAAAAGACAGATGTATTCATTCCCACAGAATAGAATAAGCCATGCAAGACACGTTCATTTACCGTCAAAATGTGTATTTTTAGCGCAATAGGTGACTCTTCTCAGGTAACCATACAGCACCCACAATTGAATTAGAAGTTTATCACTTTATACGACTTTTTTCAAACAGAATAGCATTCAAAAACGTGTACAAAGACAGTTTTACAATCATCAACTCCTTAACCATGGAATCACAAAATCAATGGTAGGCTTTAACAAGAAGGTTAGGGATTAACGACCATCGCTTTTTTTTTGAAGTGTTCCCTCACATGGATATTTCAATTCAGGGGCTACAGACATCATATGTACGAGGTACAATAACAATGGTTATTGGAACAGTAGACCCTCCCCTCGTAGGCAGCATACTTGGGCATAGATGACTGTTCAATTACGATTACATGGTGCAATTGAGACGGAATGCAAAATGTATTATATTATTATGTACATGTATAAAAACCAAAGACAATTTAGTTTTTTTCAAAATAACAAAATGCCTTGTGACATAATTAACATTAAATGTTTATATAACCCTAATAACGATGGATGTCATGGCAACAGCATTCAATAAAGCACACCCTTAAGGAGTTTCATAAAAAGTTGTTTTCCCCTGATGGTTCTTAAACATAGCCAACAGCCTATATTCAAAATAAACTGTGTCTCCCCCCCTTCTTTTTAATACATAAAATATGCATACATGTTCAGGCACTGAAGACTTAATACAGTTAATAATTTAATACAGCACTTACTATATATTAATGATTCAAACTTATGTTGTTGACTCAATTTTTGTTCTTAGAACATTTGGGTCAATGTTTCACTCCCCCAGCCCCACCTCATGCTTCACGTATAGGAAGGAATAGAAACAAATGAAAGACAGTGTTGTCATAGCAACAACAATAAATTAACATACTCAGTTGGAAAACAAAACCACAGAATATTGAGTTATACCTATTGAAGACCGTACAATTGTAAAATGATTACACATATGAACTTTTTCAAATTAATTTTACGTTCACTGTTCAAAAAGGTTTTCTTAGTGAATAATACAGATCACGAATCGAGCAAATAATACGGGAACTACTTTCAACTGTATAAATACCCAGGTGAAAGGCCTGGATAAATATTTTGATTTTAAACATTTACAGAAATTGTATTTTAAATTCCAGCTCTACAACAATGTTAACAACACTTGTCATTTAATACACAGTGCATACCGTACAAAACACCAACACTGCAAACACAAGGACACACAGAAACTCATCCCACCACCTATCGCAACACACACATTAGCAAAGTCGTAAACAGTTTGACTGATCACTACAAAAGAAACTCACATTACTTACAAGTAATCAATTGCATAACAGAACAAATTTAAACCCACACGTATGCGCATACACACATACAAGCCACTACCACTCATTGCAAAGTTTGGGCACAGTGATCACCACATGAACGGACACACTCAGCTGGAGTAGGGTATCGATGAATTAAAGTCAGAACATGGTTTTACACTTTGTTAGACAAGGTACCAGTCTCTAGGCAATGCCAAGGCCAATAACTGAGGTTACTAAGGATACACATCAACTTCTGTTTGCATTCTACATCCAGTTAAAAAAATCAAATTGCGGCAAGTCAAAATAAACTAATACTTGGAGGAGGGGGGGGGGGGGGGGTAATAACAAAAAATGTTGGTCTGTAATTATAATTAATTTATAGAGAATGCAGTCACTTCCCCGCTAGTAAAATTGAGTAGGAGCTGTATGTACACATGCAAGGCCGGCTAACAGTAGCGTCATTACACAGTCTACAGCTTTCGCACAATTGACATTTTTATAAACACTACACAGACTCAATTTGTTGGCAATAAATTCATTTGTAACTCCGGCAATAAAAAAAAGGATAACAACAAGACAGTGTGGGTGCTATCAGCCTGTCAAGCGGCCTTTGCCGTCACTAACGTGTAGCAAATTAACTGCTTCTTACAGGTTCTTCAGTCATGCAATCTCTTGTCGATTACCATTTTTATAGTCACGACTTACTCACAACCCACGCTAAAATCAAAGTGTTAAATTTCGTGCTTTTTTGCATGAAGTTCTTCACATTTAATATTTGATTTTGGATCAACAGAATTGCTTAAGATATATTTTAAAGATTTTTCACAGCCATAGATTAACGTTGAATGGGAATATACGTGAGGAAGAACGGATTGACTATTGGTTGTGAAAAGACCGCACACGCAATTGTACTATTCACTAACAAGGAAATGTCAATTTCAGAACTGCAGTTATTGCAATATATTGAGTTAATAACTGTGTGCGTGGGAGTGAGTGCATTATGCGATTCATTATTTGTTGCAAGAATTTTACATACAATACAACGCTTTTTGTTTTTAAACATTAATTGTCTGAAACAATTTTATTTACTTAAAATACAAGCCTGCCTGGTGTAAATGATTAAACTTGATCAATACTGCCTACCGTAATCATGTACATAATTTGCTGGGCTGATCATAATGATCAATGTACAAGTACACACCCAACTAGATAACAAACACACATAGTAACCACAAATATTTGAATACAGCAGTCAAGAGACTTTATCAAGTTTCTACGATGTTCATTGAAAAGCTATTGATCAGGGCCAAGAGTGACATCCACTCCACACTTGGCAGGCAGCATAGATATGCAGACAATCCCACTTATCGTCAACACACAGCTACCATATACCATAATTACACATTCCATGTTGTTTCTTATCAAAAAAGGAGATCTTACTCACATATCTGAGGGTCTCCGTTGGAGATCGAGGTCTCAGCGGGGTTCGTCTACGGACCAAAGGTGGGATGTGTGTACGTGGTTTGGCTATAGGTACAGTCCCCTCCTGTGTGCAGAAGTATACAGTTATTTTTATTTTTCCCCAATACAAGATGACCCTCTGTCTGAGAATAAAATGTACAATCACATAACAAGAAGTTTTCAAGTAATTTGTCCACACGTTCAACAATTAACAAAAACACTGATCAATCATCTCTAACAAATAATTGGAAGTCAACAATTTTGATTTGGAAAAATAGGAATAAAACTTTGCAATATCACTGTCAGAAAATGAGTGAGCAAAAGCACTAGACATGTACAGGCAACAATTTGGAAAAAGCTTCATATAACTAATAAAAACAAAAGTCGAAGAATTTTATGTAAAAAAAAAAAAATTAATTCAAAGAGAAAAAAATGACTTCTAAAGTTAACAGCATAGGTTGGGTTAACCTTCATCCTAAGTGTGCATAACCTCAACTGCTGGTGGGACAAGAACACGGAGACAGGCGAACATGCAGACAGATGGCCACCCTTTTTGTTTGGCACACAGCACCTAAAAACCTGATTTCATATGGTCATCCGTTCTGTGACATGCACGGCTGACCTCATGCCTGGGTATTGGTATCATGTCACAGGATCAGAGCAATGTCACCAAGGTCTTGTTACAGACACTGTAGGCTTTGCATGGGGTAGTCATCAATTTATTCTGCAATCTCCATGTGTATAACTGTGTGTCACTATATACTGATGGATGGCATCAAACAAAAATAAATTTTATTAAATCCCTAGAGTAAAAGGAATCGAGGTGAGGCAGAGGAAAAAATCGAACGTATTATATGTTCATATTTTTGTATTTAGTCCCACAAAATATATATCAAAGAAAAGTGAAAAGCTCATTTTGAGACATAAACGTGAGAACGTGACATGTTTATGATGAAGATTTCTACAGAATAAATTTCTAATCTCATTGCATTTTACTCTTTATGTATCACAACATGAAAACACATATTTATGATTTATTGGGAAATAAAACTGAATCTGATCAACCATACCATTAATAAAAAAAAATATGTCTCATTTTTCAAGATTTTAGATAAACAACATTTGCATATTGAAACTTGCCCACCAAAACGTAAACATTGACCAGTGCAACATAAAATACCATGATGTGTGCATACAGGGAGCAGGATTATAACAGAAACACAATTCTAAAAGTAGGTCGTATACAATAACACTGATCTACTTTTGAAAAAAAAAAAAGGGACGCTAAGGTATGCCAGGCTATAAATAAGAAAGTGAATAGAAATCTTGATTGAAGCCATGTGAGGTGCTGTCTTAATGTAAACTATCTTACCACACAGATAGTCAACTAGAAATGGTGAACCGCTTCAACGCTGGGAAAGGCTGAATGAAGCAAAATGTTCTAATACAATTTTTTGCTAATTTTTCTATAGTACTCTTTGAAAATTCAAAAAAAAATATTTGTCATTTTCTGAATCAAAATGGCTGCCACTGACAGGCTTAAAGGCATAATCGAAACAGCAGTGTAACCATGACAACAAGCTCATAACCCCCCCCCCCCCCCCCATTTTTTTCCCCTTCTGTCCATGTGTGTGGTGTAACCGATTGCTAAACAAAAATATTTCTTCTAGTTTTAAGTGTGGTTTTAATTTCTCTATTATTTCTCAGCTGCGAATTATAGATTTTAGAGTTAAAGAATTGTATTATGGTTACAAATGAAGCTGAAGCCAAGGATTAAATATCACTATGTTATAAATGTAATTGCAATCTTTTCAGCTAGGCATACCTAAAATAAACATAGACCAAATACAAAATATTGTAAATATTGCTTCGATAATATTAAATTTCATAGTATAATTGAATAATGAAATATAGCCAATGTACATACATGTACGCTGTTACTAAATACAGTAAAAGTCAATTTGAGTCGTGATATATATATATATATATATATATATATATGCCCTCCCCCCTACCTACAGTGTATGTGGTACAGTTTATTAGCCATTTGAAAATTATGTTGTGTCGTTTATTGATTCAATATTTCCGCATTCAGAACCATGCAAAACTGATCCTGAGATGTGGTCGGCTGTACTATTACACTATACAACTAATGAACAACTCAATATAAACACAATGTTACAACAATACTCTTCCATGGCAAATCAATCGTTTCAAATGCAAATGTCTTGCTTCAGGGCGAATTCACTAGAGAGATGTGACCTACAAATGGATTTGTTGCCGCATACAGGAGACATAAACTGCACAGCCCACCCCCCAAAGACCCAAACAGGTGTTTCCCTCGCAGTGTAATATATTTAACCCTAGAGCACAACTTGCAATGTTCTTTGTCTGCTGCTTAGTGCTTGCAAACTTGAAGGAGGTATTACAAATACATCTACGCAAAATGGTGAATTTCTTCAAAATCAAGAAATGTTCCATTTAATAAATTAATATGTCTTGCATAGAAACTAGTTTAATTTAAACAATCGGGAGTACGTTTTTGCGGTTTTTTCCTTATATTCACTCACTCACAAAAAACGAAGCAGAGAGGGAGTGGGCTTGCGATTTTGAAATATTCTCTATTATGCCTCACTGTATTACCGGTATATATAAGCTTTCGATTTTATGATAGCCATTACTAGTTTTGTGAAGAAAAAAAAAGCCAAAATGAAGAACGGTGACATTTTACAATTAGGCAACGGATTTGTTTTGTCTTGTGAACAGTTGTTCAAATATAAACAAAAATCCATCATAACAAAGAAGTTTGGAGAATCGCGATCGACCCACCACAAGGCATATACTACTTACCGCACCAAGATACAGGCCTGTCATATTTCTGGTACTCGGCCTCGGTTGGGAAGTCGTGCGCGGAGTTGTTACACTGTCCATCTCTGTGGTGTTTTATAGCAGCAAATGTAGATCAACAAGTTTGCCACGACCGGCAAATCTGGTTCCGGCAACTTGCCGGATGGCGTTCACTGCACTGTGTGCAATTTTGGCACTAAGTACGATATCCAGGTCATGTTCGGTTGAGTATAACACTTGTAAATATACACAGATCCTTAGAAAGTAAGAAAACACACGAGTTTGTGTTTGTTATGTGTTCACGTACACCAAACACTAAAATACATTGAAAGAACAAGCGATCGTGGCGTGACAAAACATATGACACACCGGAGTACGATCACCCGAAATCAAATTCAAATTTTCTCCCCAGCATGGCTCGGTAGGAAGACAGACTGCCTAAAATAGGTGTGAAGTGGCAACGTACACATTACACAAAGAGTATAATTATAGCTAATTTACCGAGACCGTGACTTCAATGAAAAAACTTGTTGCTCAGGCGTAAAGAAAGCATGAAGTTTCCAATGAAATGGTGAAACTGTGAAAAAGCAATTTTACGAATGTTTCCGCCGAATAATGATACAACAGCCAAGGATTTGTTTTGTTGCTGGGGGTGTCTGAAAAGAGTCTAGCCATGCATGGCGAGAAATAAATCTCGACCACAAATCAAACGCCGTAAAATTTCACCGAGGACAAAGCATGGAAGAAGCCAGCTAAACAAAGTCAACCAGCGACGCATTGATTCGCACACGCCATAATGACAACTTCGCCAACTTACCGGAACCGTTTATAAAGTTCAGTCAACGGTCGACAGACGACGAAGAACTTTTACAAGTACCGCCACACAGTAACCCCACTGAATGGAATCAGATCGGCCTTGATCAACGGAAAGAAGCACGAAACGGATTTCACAAAGTTTAACAAAACAGTGGACAAGCAAATAACATTACGATCATCTCCGCCATGACAGCACGTATAGCCTCGATGTGAGCCTATACAAGAGAGCGGGTGACGTCATATAGCAACAAGAAGAATGCTGCATGCAACCGGGTAACCCCGTCTTTGGTGTCGATCAGTGGGTCTATTTGGTGTCCCAGGAATGAATTATTAGTCGCATTGCCACAATCAAAATCCGGATTCACGTTTGGTACATTTCCTATACGTAGATGCATTAGTGCGACTAATCCCGACCCAAGGAAACTGATAGTGCCATGATTGTTTTGAAAATAGAAATGAAAGTAAATTTGAAAAATCGATGCATATTATTCATAACATATCTCAAGTTAAATATCAAAAGTTGAATATTTTTTGTACGACCAAATTCATTCTCAAAATTGTGATCACCTAGGCTAAATTTGCAAATGAATAAATTCATAGCAAAGCAACTGAAGTAACTTCCCAAACTCATATTTCTTAACCCAACCTCTTCTGGGAAATGTGTTCGTTCCATTTCCATTTAAGACTGGCCTGTTTTGATTTAATAATACTACTGGATTACAGACAGTTTTGTCGCTACAATAATTCAATGTTTATCAAAATGATTAAGTACTGAAGGACTTAATTTTTAACGACGATTTACTTTCATTTGACGATGATATTATTTACATTTCTGTTCAATAATTTTGAACATTCGTGGAAAAGACAAGACGATTTTACATTTTTCATTTTGAAATGCACGTTTGAAATTTGTTAAGAGTACACGATTTGTCATATGTGTGGCATTTTAGGCACGATATACATTTTTTGAAATACACGTTTGTCATTGTTGAGACTCTATATGACTGAAAATGGGTTCCAAATATACTAAACTAAAAAAAAAAACTTTTTGATATTCGACTTTTAAAAGGAATTTCGAAATGGGCAAACGTGCCTTTCACATTTTCAAAACAATCTAGCGTGCGTAAAATACAAAACATGCAATTTTTTATAGTAGAGTTTCAAAAATGCCAACCAAGAATACATTTCAAAAATGCAGGAAGTTCAAAAAATGCTAAACGTCACGTGCATTTTACAAATGTAAACGTTTCGAAAATTCCTAACGTACATAAAGTCCAAACATGCAAGTCTTTCCCAGCACAAAGTCGGATTTCAAAAATGCTAAACTTTCATTAATGCTAAACTGCATCTAAAAGTTTAACAGTTTTATCACTGCAAAATGTGCATTTCAAAAAATGTAAACGTCTTTAAGACACTTAACATATCAAATGTGCAAGTATTTCCTAGCAAAATGTCGGATTTCAAAATTATTAAACGTCCATTTGTGATGAATTTGTTTACGCGTATTTGTTAATCGACTTAAAGTGCCTGTGAAATGGCTGCTATTTTCACGCCTAAAATTATCCATTGATACATATATATTATTAATTTTTATGTTTCTAAGCATGAATTATTTTTTAAAAGTGAAAAAATGTGTTTTAAACTCAATCTACAACCTTATTTTTGTGTATTTTAAAACGAGGCTCCTCATTAGCTTCTTATTTGCATACAGAAATTCCCCTTGTGACGTCAGAAGGGGAAGTCGCATGGCAGCTTGCATTGCCGATACATGTAAATAAGGCAAATTTCTTCTGCAGTTTTCTAATCTTTGACTAAATTTTCACTTACGTACTTGTTCGTCGAGTAGGAATGAACCATAATGAACACATAATATCAATTTTTGTTGCATGGGGTTGAGTTAGATGCGAAATATGTCCGTTCTGGTGTAGCTGGTCACCGTGATCGTCAACGGCGCACGTTTGTACACAGTCGATGGACAAAATATAATTTGACGTCGGAATTATCTCGTTATTTAGCAGGTTACTAGGTACGTCACTACACTGTTTTATTTCATCATCGTCTGTGTAAAACTTTCAAAATTAAAATAAAAGAGAACATATTTTGACATTCTAAACATTAGACTATAGTGATCACTATAAAATAATTAAAAAAAACGACAAATCACAGTTACTAAATAAATGACAGCCGCGTGGAAATAAATTGAAATTTTGTTGAAATAGGTGAGGCAAGTGCGTTAAAAGCGGCGTTTAATTGGATAACAAAAATAATCGAGATCCACACACATACAGACAAATTCAGAGTGGATTCGAGTAAGCATGGCGTGATTGTCATAATTATAACATCATATTGAAACTTTATTTGGTGGAAACACATTGACCAAGCCCGGATTCTTATTTCATAAATTATTACGCAGATCAAGCTGCAAGCATGGAGGTAAAAAAAGAACAGAGGTGTGAATTCGACATTCAACACCAATCACCAAACAATTCAGAAACTTTTAGCCTTCGAAAATGAAAACAATTAGCGGTGTATAAGGGCTGTGTAATTTCCTGTTTGTCCGATGCTTCGTTTTCGTGTCACTGTCAAAATTATTGCTACCTTTTACTTAACAGGGACTAAATGGTCTCTATAAAACGATAATCACGATCGCAAAAATAGTCAACTCATTTGAAACACTTGCCGGACGTCTCTCTCTCTTCTGAAATCCGCCTCGGTGATCATAGTCCGGAATATATTTTTCTTTTAAAAGTGTTGCGCCAGATTTATGTTGTCGGCGTTTCTCTTTAAACCTAGTTGTTTTTTTCATGGACGAGAACAGTTTTTCCAAAAAAAGGAATCTGAGGTTAAGTGGCTTTCGTCCACTGATGTCGCACTTTCGGATCGATTAGAAACGTGTGAATACTTACACTATGACTATACGTTTCACTGCAACTGCCCACAACACAACATCTAAATACTGCTCTCAAAAAAAAGAAAATAGACAAAAAAACGAAAAAAAAACGCCGACTCTGTGGTCGCTATTCCGTCGCTATTCGGACTACTATTTCTGACAGTTAGTATTCGCAATTATTAATGTAGTGAACGATTAATCAAAAGATATGACGTGTTCAGTACTTAGTGTGATTGGTTGAATGTGTGAAGGTTACGCCCTAGAGTCTTTTTACTGCTTTGTAATTGGTTAAGGTTTTGAAAGTGAATAAAGTTGTCTTAGTTGGTCTTGGCGAGAACACCACGAGAGACGGAGAGTCCTGGAGAGTTCTGGAGAGTCTTGGGGCGAGTCTTGATGCAGTCTTGGGCGAGTCTTGGGTCAGCCATGCAATAGTCTTGGGGACTTTTCCCCAGGGCGCTGTGTCTTATAGAGTGCTCGACTGACCGACTA